AAAAAGGGGAAATAAAGGGGAAATGTTTAAAAAAATAGGGAAAATATTTTTTGAAAAAGGGGAAAAAAGGGGGAAAAGCCCAAGAAGGGGGGATAAAAAGGAAAAATAGGCGGGGGGAAAGAGGAAAAAGGGGAAATAAAGGGGAAATATTTTAAATAAATAGGGACAATTTTTATTTTTTAAATGGGAAAAAAATGGGGAAAAGTCCCAGAAAGGGAAGATAAAAAATCGGGAAAAAAAAGGGGAAAACAGGGGGAAGAAAAGGGGAAATAAAGGGGAAATGTTTAAAAAAAATAGGGAAATATTTTTTTAAAAAGGGGGAAAAAAATCCAAGAAAGGGAAGATAAAAAAGCGGAAAAAAAAGGAGAAAAAAAGGGAAATAAAAGGGAAAAGTTTAAAAAAAATACGGAAAAGATTATTTTAAAATGTGGAAAAAAATGGGGAAAAATCCAAGAAAGAAAAAATAAAAAAGCGGCGCCATCCCGGGAAAGAAAAAAACAATTATTTTTAATTCTGACGTCATTAATTTAGCTTAATTAGGATTAAATTAATAAGAATTTCACGGACAGCAGAGTGGCGCAGCGGGAGCGTGCTGGGCCCATAACCCAGAGGTCGATGGATCGAAACCATCCTCTGCTAATTCCTATTTTCCTTTAAATTTTCCGGTTTTTTATTTTTTCCCCTCAATTTTCCCATTTTTCCTCTCTTTTTTTCCCCTCAGTTTTCCCATTTTTCCCATTTTTCTTCCTTTTCCCCCTCAATTTTCCCATTTTTCCTCTTTTTATCCCTCAATTTCCCCATTTTTCTCGCAATTTCCCCATTTTTCTCTCAATTTTCCCATTTTCCCCTAAATTTTCCCATTTTTTCTCTCTTTTTTCCTGAAATCGGTTTTTTTTTTGGAGAGTTTTAGGAAATTCCGGGATGAAGAATCAGGAAGATGTGGAAAAATGTGAGAAGGGGGGGGTGGATAGGAGAAAATTGGGGGAAAATTGAGAAAACTGGGGAAAAATTGGAGAAAATTGGGGAAAAAAAAAGAAAATTGGGGAAAAATTGGGAAAAAAATGGAGACAATTGGGGAAAAATGGAGAAAATTGGGGAAAAGGGGGGAAAAATGGGGAAAAAATGGAGAAAATTGGGGAAAAGAAGAGAAAAAAAAAGGAGTAAAATAAACAGTTGGGAAAAAAGGGAAAAATGGGAGAAAATTGGGGAGGAAAGGGGAAAATACAAATAAAGGGGAAAAATAGGGGAAAATGGAGAAAATCAGAAAACAAAAAGAGAAAATAGAGGAGAAAAAGGAGAAAATGAGAAAAAATAAGATAAAATAGGGGGAATATCCAAAACGGGGAAAACAGGAAAAAAGAAATCCAAAACGGGGGAAAAAAAGGAGAAAATTGAGGGGGAAAAAGTACAAAATGGG